TGGCGAGAACTGCATATGCCGAGTGAGCGGTGGCGAGAACTGCATATGCCGAGTGAGCGGTGGCACAGTGGGCCAGGCAGCATCAGAAGAGCAGGAAAGTGAAGTTGAATTCAATAAGAAAAATCTGGAATAAGCAAAAGGGGACAAGGATATTTCCAGGTTTGGAGGCTGTAGGAGAGGTTGGGGCTATTTTTCCTGGAGTGTCAGAGGCTGAGGGGTGACCTTTGTCGAGGTTTATAAAATCATGAGGGGCTTGGATAGGGCGAATAGCCAAAGTCTTTTTCCCAGGGTAGAGGAGCCCAAAACTAGAGGGCATAGACTTAAGGTAAGAGGGGAAGGATTTAAAAGGAACCAAAGGGGCAACTTTTTCACGTAGAGGGTGGTGCGTGTATGGAATGAACTGCCAGAAGAAGTGGTGGAAGCTGGTACAATTGCAACATTTAAATGGCATCTGGAAGGGTTTAGAGGGATGTGGGCCAAATGATGGCAAATAGACTAGATTAATTTAAAATATCTGGTCAGCATGGATGAGTTGGACCGAAGACTCTGTTTCCATGCTGTACAACAATATAACTGTGAGTCTAATGGTGACCATATAAACATTGTTAATTATCATTACAAAAACATTTAATTGACTAATATCCTTTTGAGGAGGAATTTTGGCATCCTTACCTAATCAGGCCTACCATGTGACTACAAACCTGCAGTAATGTGCTTGACACTTAACTGCTGTCCTGGCAATTAGGGATGGATAACAATTGCTGGCCTAGCCAAAAATGTCCAGATCCCATGAACAAATAAAATCTCAAACAGCAATTCCACTGCTGCAACAGGTCACTCTGGGAAAATATTTCATTCCACAGTGAGTTATTCCAATCTGGAATGCACTGTCTGACAGTTTGGTGGGAGCAGATTGAACAGTACATTTCAAAGGGGAATTGAATAGAAGAAAGAATTTCACAAACTATGGGCAAACAGCAGTTGATGGGACTAGGTGGACAGAATGGCATACTTCTACTTCTACATCTTCTGGGCTAATCAATAGGTTTACAAAGAGCTGTGGTAGTGAATGTCTGCTGTACACTCTTCATAGTCTTTACATCCTCCCTGGTGTCAGATACCCAAAACCTACAATATTCCTTCTGTAGCTGAATCAATCATTCATTTTATAAAATGTAGGGTAATATTTTCAAACAGCTTGTAAACCTGGAGAACAAGTTTACAAGATTTACAATTCCAAACCTCTTATAACATAGGTATAATATACTGAGTTAAAATGTTTGATTTAATGTGTTGTGGGAAAGAGAAGTTTAGCTTAAAACTTCAGAACAGGCACTTTGCTGTGGCAACCTGTCTGCAGCAACACTGCTAAGACCATCCATTCTGCAGAATTGGAAAGCAATCAGATCAGAGGAGAGGACAGGGTTTGTCCATTCTTACCCATGTTATTAGCTCAAACAGAAGTCTGAAATAGAATTGATTATATTCTGATGTATGGTATCAGATCTAACATTGAAACTGGAAGAAATGACAGCAGACAAGGCAGATAAAGGGAAATGAGTAAATTACTGAAGAAAATTGCAAGGAATGTGACCTTGTAAGTTGCAGATAGGAGAAATTTCTCCTGCCAAAACCCAGCATAGAAGACAAAGAAAAGTGGGGGCTGGAGCTGGATCACTACAGCGTATAAAAGTGAGGGAATACTGGAAGAGGGCAGTTGAGACTCGGCAGTTGGGCAGATCCTGGTGGTTCCATCCAACAGGCTGACTTTGAGTAAGTGATTATGGGCAGCTGGGACTTGCATGTTTACTCTAGATTGATTGATCAAATCTTTCAATCACCTCTAAAACAATGCATCTTTCATCTAATAGCTTCATGGACTTTCAATGGTCTCATGACAATGCGGTTAGTTTTAATTAAGTCCTGCTCCTGGGACTTAACCATGACTTTTTCTTTGACCGGGCAGCACGGTGGCTCAGTGGTTAGCAATGCTACCTCTCAGTGCCAGGGACCCGGGATAGATTCCATCTTTGGGCAACTGTCTGTGTGGAGTTTGCACATTCTCCCCGTGTCTGTGTGGGTTTCCTCCCACAGTCCAAAGATGTGTAGGTTAGGTGGATTAGACATGCTAAATTGCCCAGGGATGTGCGGGTTAGGTGGATTAGCAATGGATATTGCAGGGTTACAACAACTTGATAGATGGAATTTCTCACCTCTTTACTGTTCAGATTTCTCTACCCCTTTTAAAATATTTCTGTTGACAGACAGCCTGGAGAGCTCTGGGAATGGAGACTGGTCAGGAAGCATATATTAATGAATAACAAATTAAATTGTGAATGGTCAGGAAAGGTCTGTAAATGAACAAGTGTGTCTGTGCAGGAAAAAGAATCATAGAACCCCTAGAGTCCAGAAAGAGGCCATTTGGCCCATTGAGTCTGCACAGACCCTCCAAAGGGCATCCCATTCAGACCCGTCCCCATAACCCTGTGTGGAGTTTTTTCCAATCGCTAATCCACCTAACTTGCACGTCTTTGGACTGTGGGAGGAAACTGGAGCACTCGGAGGAAACCCATGCAGACATGCGGAGTATGTGCAAATTCCACGCAGACAGTCACCAAAAGCTGGAATTGAACCTACATCCCTGGCACTGTGGGGCAGCAGTGCTAACCACTGAGCCACCCTACACTGCTCACAGAAAGCCCTTGGTTATTTTTGAAGAATATTGCAGGTGGATGTCTGAGGGAGGAACAGAGTAATGGGACAAAGAGGGAGACAGTGATCAGACAACAAGAAAGGAATGATGTTTAAAGTTGAGTTGGGGGGGGGGATGGAAGGTGGGTACATGAGGAAAATGATATCAAGAGAGACAATTAGAGAATTAAAATATGAGAATAGTTACCATTGATTTAACTGATTTGGAGACTGATGGGATATATTAATTTGTTGATGATACATTATTCTGTCTCTAATTCAGGAAAAGTTCTTGAAGAATTTACAGATTTATTCCAAGGGTAAATTAGACACTGATCAGTTGTAAATGGAGATGCTAAAATGATCAAAAACAAAGTTGCTGGAAAAGCCCAGCAGGTCTGGCAGCATCTGTGAAGGAAAAAACAGTTAACATTTCAGGTCCGGTGACCCTTCCTCAGAACGCTAATATGATGCTTTTCATGGTTCAGTTGTTAAGTTGATCAAATACTTTGAATTCAAACTTTTGTTGTGGATCAGTTTCCTCTCTCCTACCTTGAGATGTGATGGTCAACTTGTTTTGACGCTGGGTCATGATGCCAAAAGTTGACAACTCAACCAGATAGGAGAAACAACTAGACTTTTTAACTTCACAACAACTCAATTAAAGAAGCTGAATTCATCACAAATACTTTTATTTCTTCAGGCTAATGAATTCAGTATAACTTCTTATTTCATCATCATATTTCACATTCCTCTTTTTTGTCATTTCCCTGTTAAATTTAATTGAGTCTGTAACAGAATCAAAGACCCCTACATCCTTACTGTAAATGCTAACAAGAACTGTCTTCTTATTATTTCACAATCTCTCAAACTCTCCTGGAAGATTTCTGAATAATTTATCCATTTACTAGGGTGTGATGACATTAGAAGCTGCTGGTGCGGTATGGGTCAGTCTGAGATCAAACATTGAAAGTTAGATTTACTTGGGCATATTACGACATTACAATGTTGTTGTGCCTCATGGGGTAACCCATTAGAAATCAAGCCTTGCTGTTCTTGGGGTCATCACAAGAGTCAAAGATTTCATAAAAATACAAAACACACAAAATTCCCCAATTTACATGTCCTTTAGACCCAGGTAGAGAGTGTGGAACAGGCTTCTGTACAGATATGTCAGGATGTTGCTGGGAATGGAGGGTTTGAGTTGTAATTAAAGGCTGGATAGGCTGGGTCCTTTTTCACTGGGAGTGTAGCAGTTTGAGGTGTGACCTTTTATAGACGTTTATAAAATCGTGAGGGGTATAGATAAGGTGAATGGCAGATGCCTTCCCTCTAGGGTGGACACATTTTTAAGGTGAGAAGAGGGAGATTTTAATAAGACAAGGGCGTTGTTTTGTGTGTTTTTTTTATACAGTGGTTTGTGTATGAAATGAACTTCCTGAGGAGTGGTGGATGCCAGTACAGTTATAACATTTGAAAGACATTGGATAGGACATGAATAAGAAATGTTTGGAGGGATATGGGCCATGTGCAGGCAGGTGGGACTTGTTTAGTTTGGGATTATGGTCAGCATGGCCATGACTCTGACTCTATAACAAGGATTACAAATAAATAGATTCTAGCTACAGGTAAACAGCTATGAACCATACGTATAACAACTTTATAACTCCAGTAGTTAAAACTCTAACCCCCTTAAAACTCCCCTACACACACACTGATACAGTCAGACAAACAAGTTGGTGTGATTGGTGGAGGGGAAAAACTGGGAAGGCAATTCAATGGTCTCTGACCATAGGGTTCACTTGATGTTTGTCTTTTGCTGACATAAGGCAGGATCTCCTGTTCCAGAAGTGCAAAGGCTTTTGTCTACCTCATTCACCAGCCACAAACTGTTCAGCTACCTGGGAGCCAATCACATACTTGTTGGCAGGCAGAAACCCTTCATCATCAAACATATGTCAGAAATCACATGACATCAGGTTATGGTCCAACAGGTTTATTTGACAACTTTTTAATTCCCTGTCTAGTTTCCGATATTCTGTCTGCAGAACCTCACCCCTTTCCCTACCCAAGTCACTGGTACCAACATTCACAAAGACCTCCTGTTGCCTTCTAAACCTTCCCTCTTCTTGTACTTGTCCAAATTTCTTTTTGGTATTGTAACAGTACCTGCATCTACCACTTCCTTCTGGCAGTTCATTCCACATACAAACCACCCTCTGTGTGACAATTTGCCCCTCACATCCCTTTTAAATCTTTCTCCTGACACCTTAAAAATATGCTGTCTAGAACCTATCCATATCTCTTTGTAGTCTCCTTACATCCTCTTCACAACTCACTTTCCTACCTACCTTTGTATCATCAGCAAAATTAGCTATCTACCTTCAATCCCTTCATCCAAATTATTTATGTACATTGTAAAGAGTTGAGGCACCAGCACCCTGTGGCACACCACTCATGACATCCTGCCATCCTACAAAAGACCCATTTATTCCTACTCTCAACCTCCTGTTAGCAGCCAGACTTCTTTTCCATGCTAATATGTTACCCCCTTCACCATGAGGTTCAATTTTCCACAATAACCTTTGATGTGGCATGTTATTAAATGCCTTCTGTAAACCTAAATACAGTATCCACTGGTTCATCTTTATCTACAGTTCTTCAAAGAATTCCAGTAAATTGGTTAAACACCCTTTTATTAAAGCAGGTTGGCTCTCTGATTACCTTAAACTAATCCAAGTACCCTGTTATAATGTGGTTCATAATAGCTTCTAACATTTTCCCTATGCAGATATTAAGCTAACTGGCCTATAGTTTCCAGCTTTCTGCCCTCCCCCCTCCTTTTCTTGAATTGAAATGTTAGCTATTTTCCCATCTAAACGAACCTTTTCTGAATCTGATGAGCTTTGGGAAATTAAAATCAATGCATTAACTGTCTCACTAGCTACTTAAAACCCAGAGATGAAATCCATCTGGACCTAGGACTTGTCAACTTGCAGTTCCAGCAATTTTACTCAGCCTTACTGGTAATTGTAATTTTCTTGAGTTTTTTGACAACTGGTCACCACCCAGCAGAACCATCAGCTACTTGTTACTACCTGAATGACTCTTCATACACATAGCCTGGCTCCAGCTCGCCTGAAACTAATGCACCTGCTCCCCAACTAGTTGAACAAGCAACAGGATAAATGATTCTTACAATGTGTTAATAGCTTGCTTTTAAAAAGTGCAACAATCTCTTCCACAATCCTTCATTTTTTAAGAGCAGTTCTTTTCCCACTTTAGTCTACGATGTAAAGTGCAGAAAAATAAAAAGATACATGCTTATCTCTTTTGTAAAAGTTGAAGATTAAAATAATGATGCTGTTCAGACATGCCATTAGCATTATTAGATTAGCCTCCATCATTGGCTTGTTTCAACTCAGTGATTCAAAAACTCTGCACATATGATTAACTTGTTCCTTAAAGAGGAAACACAGGCCCTTTATTGGCCCTGCCCTTATCCCCAGACCCTGTCCCCTGTCCTGAACATGTCACTATTTAATTCTCAGAATGTCACTGACCTGAGCAAGGAATCTAGTCATCATAAGACTGCACCCAGTCAGAGCCAGTACCTTCAGGAGAGAGACAGAGACAGAGATAGGAACCAGTGAGCAATGTCATCTGCACAAGGGCAAGCCTTCTGCTCATTTCTCCATCTCTTGCATTTTTCTTCCATTTTCCTCATTGTTTGCTCTTATGAGCCTCGTATTTTCAAAAGAATAGGTGGTTTCCTGATGCATTCCTGGTGTGTGCTGCAAGGAAACCCCATGGCCTTCCTGAAGGATCCTCCATGAGAAGTTCCTGTCTCTCAAGGTTCCAGCTCCTCAGCCATCACCACCAAAGATTAACTAACTGCCTTTAGCTGTAGCTCATAACCCTGAGCCTGAAGCCCTCACCTGGACATGGGGGCAATTCGTAACAGGCTTGGGCCCCTGGAGACCGACCTTCATACCCTAAAAAGAAAAGCAAAAAAAAATGTAGAAAATGGAATTGTCTTTTTGGATTTCTATCTAGTATTGATTGATTGTGATGACTCTTGTATGTTCTGATTTCAGGCGAATATAAAGGACAGGTTTGCAGACAATCTAATCAAGCCAAATATCACATCAGGAGCAAAATAACATTGGCCTTTTAATGTGCAGGAAGAAAGCACTGTTCACAATGTGGAAAAATCTCTCATGTGCTCAGAATGTGGACAAGGCTTCAGTGAAGCATCTGCTCTGTCAAAGCACAAACGTACTCACTGCAGGGGGAGATATTCCTGTAGTGATTGTGAGAAGCGATTCAATTCCTTATCCAACCTGGATTCTCATCGGCGCTGTCCCTCTGAGGAGAGACCATTCACCTGCTCTGTCTGTAGGAAGGGATTCATTTGGCCCTTCAGTCTTGCTGCGCACCAGCGATTTCACACTGGGGAGAGACCGTTCACATGCTCAGTGTGACAAAGACTTCATTTATTCATCCAACTTGCTGACACACCAGCGAGTTCACGGTGAAGAGAGGCCAATCACCTGCTTTGTGTGTGGGAAGGGATTCCAAGATTCATCTGGCCTGTGGAAGTACGAGGTCATTCACGCCAACGAGAAACCATTCAAGTGCTCTGACTGTGGAAAGAGGTTTAAGCAATCGTACCACCTGCAAGTACACCAACGCATTCACTGGGGAGAAGCCATTCAGCTGCCCAGAGTGTGGGAAGGGATTTAGTCAGTACACTAATTTGGTGGAACACCAGTGGATTCATAAGGAAGAGAAACCTGTTAAATGTTGAGTGTGGAAAGGGGTTTACTCATTCCTCACGCTTGAGAGTACATCAGCTCATTCGCACAGGGTAAAAACCATTCATTGTGTGTTTATTTGGATTCTGCTGCTGCTGCTGTTCATCACCACCAGACTGAACTGGGTTTACTCTGACAGGGTTTATTCCTGCTGGTCATAAACATCCCAACAACTGGAGTGGGATTTAATATTCTAGATATGCCAAAGGTGGAGGGTTAAGGATTATTTTCTAAAAGGCTTACTTCCATTATATGTAAGTGTTAGGGCTGCCCCTGACTGAACAGCACAAAATGGCCAACGGCTGCCCAGGGCTAATGCAGCAGAGCATGGCTGACAGTAGTTTAGTGCTTGGGAACCTCCTTAAATTCAAGGTCAGCAGTAGCTGTTGACACACAAGACGTAGATAATAACATTTAATTAATATGGCTTTCACAAGTAAAACAATAGGCAATCTGTAAAGAAATAATAACAATCCCCCTTTGATACAATAGCACCTCAAGGTTGCAGCTGACTCATAAGACATGGATAAGAACATCTCACACTAATTCGTTGTTCAATAATTAATTATAGATCTACATATCATTAAAGGAAAAGATTCAAACCAGTTTCAGTCAGTAAAGGCAACCTCCTTATCATTACAGAGAAATGAAGTAGATTGAATCAAAAATCAATTTTCTTTTGTATTTCCTGCAATGATAACTGCCAATTAATTAGATAAATTTAACAAGGTGCAGCTGGCAAATGTTACTTTAAATACAGTATTCATTATGAAAAGCCTCAAGAAAAAAGTGAGTCTGGAAAACCTCACAAAGGATCGGGGTGGACTATAAGCCTGTCCATTGCTTTGTTTTACTGAAGCAAGCTGAAATCGCATAAGATGCTATACCGGAGAGTTGATTTACTGAGGAACAACTCTGCTGACCAATAGTAGTCAAAGGTGGGGGGGAAGGGGGCATGTGCACTGTAAGCTGCAAGTGTATAAATTAAGACATTCTGAAGCTCTTTGTGTGCCTTTTTGCTTTCTGATGTAAGTGAACAGTAATACACAATAAAGGTCACATGAATCCACCCCACAACTCAGACTCTCCAATAAAATATAAGATCCAACAGTAAGCTATCATGACTGTGGTGAATCACTGTAAAACAATTGGAAAATAAATGTAATGCTGGTAGCTGCTCATTGTATTTGGATTGCTGTGGGATACAAGTGGCAGAGACTTGATGAAGCGGTCCCTCCTTTGAACTCTTTCTGACAGGAGAGTGACTGCCCCCGACAGCAAGTTGTGAGGGCTGCTCCGGGTCAAACACTGAATAAACTCAACTCCGCTCCTCTGCCATCACAACCTGTCCTGTCCCTGGATCAGACACTGAATATCATTGATTATCACTTAGAGGCAATTATTACTGGAGAGATTACAACCAGAACATAGGAACAGAAGCAGACCATTCATCCCCTCACATCTGCTGCACTATTACAGTAGATCATTGCCAAATTGCACCTCAGTTCCATTGTCCAGACTGTGATCAACAAAATTCAATCAACTACCATTGCAGAAATTTAATTGACATCCAACATTTATAACTATGGGGGAAAAATGGCCATGATATCTACAACCCTTTCTGTGAATGTGTTCTTCCACATTTCACTCTGGGCTCTTTTAAGATTGTGCTTCCTTATTCTGGATTCCCCATTTGAAGAAATAGTTTCTTTGATTCTAGCCTCTCAAATTAATTTCCTATTATTAAAAACAAGTATTAGATCGTCCCTCAGAGATAGTAAGAACTGCAGATGCTGGAGTCGGAGATAACACAGTGTGATTACCTGATTACTTCTATGATTACCTGAAGAATCTTTATTTAACTAGAACCTATTTCTTAATGTTGTGAGTAACTTCAAAGAAACAATTATTTAGTATGAAATAACTTTAGCTGTTATCTTTGCAGCTGCTTAGGGAGTTATTCTGGCTGGTTCATGGGCTGAGACTCTCACCTGGTGTTATTCATTTACTGGGACAATCAAACTGTCATTAATGAGGCTGGAATTAATCACTCATCTGTTCTTAGGCATTCTTGTATCAAAGGTAAGATGAACAGGAGGCTGGAAGAACACAGCAGTATCTGGAGGAAAGGAGCAGTCAACATTTCAGGTCTTAGCCTTCTTCAGGGCTGGATGTGGGGGTAGGGGGAGCTGCAGATAAAGAGGGTGGGGGAAGGGGTGGAGGCGGAATGGTGGTGATAGGTGGACACTGGTAGGTACAAACTGGTTGGTCAATGGGAGGGATGAATCTGGTTGGTGCTGGAAGGGAGGGTCAGAAGGTGGGGCTGGAAGGGAAGCGGGCGATGGGTGGGCAGGTTATTTGCAATTGGAGAACTCAAATGTTGAGTCCTCCAGGCTGTAGGGTGCCCAGGTGGAAGATAAGGTGTTGTTCTTCAAATTTGTGTTTTGAGTCACTGAGACACTGGAGGAGGCCGAGGATGGACATGTCAGATGGGTAGTTGAAATGGGCAATGACTGGGAGGTTAGGGTTGGCTGTTATGGGCCAGGCAAAGATGCTCGGTGAAACGATCACCTAGCCTACTGACGTAGAGAAGACCACATCAGGAGCACCGGATACAATAGACTAGGTTGGAGGAGATGAAGGTGAAGCTTTGTCTCACTTGGAAGGGCTGTTGAGGGCCTTGAATGGAGGTGGTGTGTGGGCAGGTGTTGCATCATTTACGGTTACAGGGGAAGGTACAGGGCGGTTGGTGGGGAGTGTAGCATGAACTGAGAAGTGGCAAAGAGAACAGTCCTTGCGGAAGGTAAAGAGGGGTGGCGAGTGAAAGATGTTCCGGATGGGGGTCTAATTGGAATTGGCAGAAGTGTTTGAGGATGTTGTGTTGGATGCGGAGGCTGGTGAGGTAGAAAGTGAGGACAAGGGGGACCCTATCTTTATTATGTTTGAGAGGGTGTAGTTAAGAGCTGTGGAGTGAGGAATGGAGGAGGTGTGGTGGACAGCTGTCTGGATGATGGGGTGGGGCGGGGGAGCTCTATCAAAATTGTCTCAGATGGTTGGTGGTAAGGCTCCTTTCCTGACTTTGAAGTCGTCTTGTTCAAAAGTACCATTATGTTTCACTTCAATGTTAGAGCAGGCTGTCCCATTTTGTTTTAATCCTTAACGCCCATTTTGAGTTTTTCAAACATGGGCTGCTTTGGTGTAAGCAGGTGCGGGTCACTTTGTATGGACAGGTACAGGTCACCCTTACAAAGACTGACAAACAATTCGACCATCACCAAACGGTCCCAACCATGGACATAAGTTGAAAACGTTTGAATTCTTTCCCTAGTTCATATTGATCTTCAAGGGATGAGTTCAAAGACAAAGAGCCAATACGCTGTTAATTTCTTAAATAATCCCTGCTGTCACGAATTGATCCATTTCATTAAAAAAAGTTGAAATATTTGCTTCACCCAACAGGGTTTCATCCTTTAAATGCCACAGACAGAAAGGTCTACACAACCAAAACAGAAGTTGCTGGGAAAGCTCAGCAGATCTGGCAGAATCTGTGAAGAGAAATCAGAGTTAATGTTATGTGTCCGCTGACCGTTACTCAGAACTGATGGTAGCTAGGAAAATGTTGATTTTACGTGTAGAACGTGGGGTGGGGGTAAGGGGTAAGGAGTAAATGGTAGGGGGGGGATTGAGCCCAAAGAGAGAGAAGAACACTTGGACAGACATCCTTGGTTACAAGGATAAAGGGTGGGTGGGGTGAGTCTGGATGGGATGCTCTTTGGAGAGTTGGTATGGACATGTTGGCCCAAATGGCCTATTTTCACACTGTAGGGGTTCTATAAATTAACAGCTATTCACTCTTTTAGCCAGATCGTTATCCACTCCTTTATCTGTCCAACTGTGATTCTCTCTCTTTGGGCTCTGTTCCCCATCCCCCGGCCCCCACCGTTCACTCCTTACTTCCCCACCATATCTTCTACACATAAAGTGATATTTTCCTACCTACCATCAGTTCTGAGGAAGGGTCACAGGACCTGAAACGTTAACTCGGATTTCTTTTCACATATGCTGTCAGACTCGCTGAGCTTTTCCAGCAACCTCTGTTTTTTGTTTCTGATTTTTTCGGTTTTTAACAGAAAGGTCTAGTTTCCTCCCGGGGTTTGATACAAATCGGGTTTCCAAATAAAGGATAATTTCAGCCAACCGGGGAGAGACAGGATCAGCCCGATCCTCATTCACTCTGACTGGTTGAAGTGGCAGCCGCCCGTTCATTCACTGTGGCTGGGTACGGTGGGTAGTGGGATGTGGTGGCTGCAGCTACTCATTCACTCCGATTAGTCGGAGTCGTGCCCCCACCCTTCTTCACTCCGATTGGTTGGAGAGGCAGGCTTCCCCCGCTATGCACTCCGATTGGTTGGAGTGGTAGCGCCCCCACCCCACATTCACTCCGATTGGTTGGACAAGCAGGCCTTCCCCACCCTCATTCACTCCGAATGGTTGGAGGGGCAGCCGCTCCAACTCTGCCCTCCAGACCAGCCCCAAACTGACAGTCCCGTTCCCTCCTCCTATTGGTTCTGAGATGCTAGCAGTCACCTGGAAGTTGGAGTGTGCGCCGTGAGACGGACGATAAGAGCTCCTGCGAGCCGGATTAAAAAACGTTGTGTGCATGTCCAGCTCCAAAACAAAACTTGCAACGTTATTCCCAAGACTCGAACATAAAACTGGGACTCCTGTCCGCCACCAGAGTCGCCAGGTTTTGTTTGTTCCGTTTCTTTCGGATCCTTGGGGACCCCCGCGGCGAAATATCAGCTCACCCAAAGAGCATCTGTAAATAGAGGACACAAGGTGCAGAGCTGGATGAACACAGCAGGCCAAGCAGCATCATAGGAGCAGGAAGGCTGACGTTTCGGGCCTGGACCCTTCATCAGAAATGGGGGAGGGGGAGGGGAAGGGGGTTCTGAAAATAAATAGGGAGAGAGGGGGAGGCGGATAGAAGATGGATAGAGGAGAAGATAGGTGAAGAGGAAATAGACAGGTCGAAGAGGCGGGGATGAAGCCAGTAAAGGTGAGTGTAGGTGGGGAGTTAGGGAGGGGACAGGTCAAGGGGGAGGGATGAGGTTAGTAGGTAGGAGATGGGGGTGCGGCTTGAGGTGGGAGGAGGGGATAGGTGGGAGGAAGGACAGGTTAGGGAGGCGGGGACGAACTGGGCTGGTTTTGGGATGCGGTAGGGGGAGGGGAGATTTTGAAGCTTGTGAAATCCACATTGATACCATTGGGCTGCAGGGTTCCCAAGCGGAATATGAGTTGCTGTTGCTGCAACCTTCGGGTGGCATCGTTGTGGCACAGCAGGAGGCCCAGGATGGACATGTCGTCTGAGGCATGGGAGGGGGAGTTGAAATGGTTTGCGACTGGGAGGTGCAGTTGTTTATTGTGAACCGAGCATCGGTGTTCTGCAAAGCGGTCCCCAAGTCTCTGCTTGGTTTCCCCGATGTAGAGGAGACCACAATGGGTACAGCGGATGCAGTATACCACATTGGCAGATGTGCAGGTGAACATCTGCTTGATGTGGAAAGTCTTCTTGGGGCCTGGGATGGGGGTGAGGG